ATCATCGGGAGAAATGTAACGACCCTTCCGGAATAATATAAGCCTATAATAATATAAGCCAATAACTCACGAGATTTTTGCATATATATTGTCCTCACACTAGTAAAAATGATATAAAAAGAATATTACCAACTTTCGAGTACCCAAACTAGGTGGTTCATGCTTCACGCAATCATTCAAAATTAGTGGTAAATTTAATATATTACAAGACTTGGGCTTACACACCCCAAAAGAACAAAACATAGATTCATACTTATATTACAACCCATGGTGACATGATCACATTAGTCCTCAAAATTTCATGTAAATATACACCATATAGATCATGTACAAGTCTCAAGGTTTATACAAAATATAGATGCCTATATGCAATTGTGATCTTCCATCACCAATGGCCAGCTTCATGCCTCCTCTCGATCATTCCCTACGATAGAAACAATTATCGCTAAGCATATAGCTTAGTGGTGTAAAAACTATAGGTTCGGAGCCATCAGATTCACAAAACTACATTTCTCAAGTCGTGGACAGCATAATCGAACATAATAAATAAATCAAGTAACCAATATATCAAGAGTATCAAGTTCGATATTTAGAGGTCCAAATGTCAAGAACACTCACAGTACCATTTTTCAAAAGATTCAATAACAAGGCTCGCCCAATATGTATATCATGTCTTCACACCAAGCACAATCAAGTATCAAGAAGAGCCGACGCCCTTTATCAAGAAGGGTCAAAGCCCAATAATCAAGAGAACCAAGAACCATATTAAAAATGGCTTTCTAGTTCGTACTTAAAATGGACAACTTCCATTCTTAAGACGGACTAAAAATCCAGAGTCAAAAGGACAAATGATCTGAATCAAGAGGCATGCCAATAGTGATAAAGTTACAGCCACAAGAAGGACAAGGTCCCAACAAGAGTGCCAAGTGATCAAACAATCCGTACAAGTGGGCGAGTTACACAAGCGTCTTTAACGTCTTAAAGGATACCAACACGACAATGCAAAGTGACAAGAGGTAACCAAGGTACCAAGATCAACCTTCAGATATACCAGCAGTTAAAAGAGTACAAATACAAGTTTATACACAAACCTCAGTGCTTTAGCAAAGAAACAGTCCAACACAACTTCAAGAGTTCAAACCGTAGACCAACCAATGTATCAAGGTCCTCAACTGGTTCACGAGTATACACAACCTTTAAAATACAATTAAATAACTTCTTTAATCCCTAGCAGCTCAATAATATTGATGTAAAACAGGATTATCATCACAAGTAAGATTAGCCTGTATAAACACAACTATGCTCCCAAAACAGTGATTCTGGCCAGCCTAGTACCTCATGTCGCAACTTAGATTTGAAAAGGAAAACGGCAAAATTAGACTTTATAGCCTTCATGAAAGATGTAGCTACATCTCTTAAGGTTGCAAACAAACAAGAATCACCGCAAAATATATTTTGTACAACAAGATATAGTCAAAACACTAACAGTTGTTCATACAGGATTTGAAAATCCAAAAATCTGGACAAAACTTGTCCTATGTTGCGTCCAATATTTCGAATCCAGCTAAATCAGAGTTTTACATAAACATAAGAGTTGTAGGTCTATGAATTAGCTTTCCAAATCATATTTATTCACTGTAAACTAAGTTCTAGAGCGAGAGATATGCATAAAATACCAAACACTACCCGGCTCAAAAACAGTTTTTGTCACTTACCAACAAGAAATGTGTGTTCTTGAATTCCAGCCAAAAGGGCCAAGTTTTTCTTTTGTAATTTTGAAGAACAACTGATTAAAGAAGGCTCTAAGGTTTTTAGACTTGGAAAAAAAATGAATTAACTCGAGGAGGTGAAAATATATATAGTCACACAAGTGATGTTTATCACTTGTACAGCTGTCTCCAAAAAGGGCTGCCCAAAATGCATACATATTCACCTACATATATATCCCTCATCTCCTTTTAAAGTTATACATAATTCTAATTAGAATATTACGAAAATACCCTAATACAATACCTTAAATTACGATCACAATTTATGTTAAGCAAGATAACAATTATCACAACATTTCAAGTTCCCAAAATGAGACTAAAACATATTCTAGTAATTAAGCAACGGTAAATCGACATGTGACTCTTGGTTAGTATTTAGGGGTGTTACAAGAAAAACATAAAAACATCTGACTCTGTTTATCTGTGAATCCTCTATTGTTAAGGAAGGATATTTGGACAAGATCCACGACACCTCAATACTACTAAACAAAATATAAAAGTGGAGTCCTCTAGAAGGAAGAAAGGAGGTCTCACCAAAAGCTATCAACAAGTGTGAAGTGATCTCAACGGAGTGTTTGTTGATTATCCCAACCACCTGTATCTGCATCATAAGAAAATATGCAGGTCGAATGACATTAGTACATTAAATGTACGAGTATGTAATATGGCTGAATAAACAAATAACTGAACTGAAGGACTGAAATCAACTCAACTTAATCAATACATGAACATGAAGTGAAAACCATTTAAGCTTTAGAATAAGATATGCAATAAAAACGATATGAATATAATATACTTTACTTTGTGAGGAGTTTCTCTAATCGACAACGATTACTATGAGCCTAGCAATGATACAACGTCTCACCCACGTTGCAAGGGCATCCTATACTTTGTCGGGGTATAGGATGATACTGTAACTATGGATCCATCTAATAGGCCTTCTCCGAGGCAGTGAAGAGTCGCACGAAGAGTCAATGTTATCCTATCTTACGCTGGTTATGTAGTTCATTAGGACTTTTGAGTTATAAAAGACTCTTACCCAATTCGGCCCTCGATACTACTCCCAAAATAATTGATATCAATTATGCTCAATCACCCTTTACAAAGAAAGGGACTATAACTTTACTTTTCACTTTGCTCAATCACCCTTTACAAAGAAATGGACTATTACTTTATTGAAGTACTTTTCAAAACATCAATCATAATCTTTCTTTCTTTTTCTCAACTGTCAAATAGTACATACGAAACCATTTGATTTTTTCTTAAAAGACTCTGTTCAAAACTTGCATTCAAAACGTATACTTATGGATTTATCTTTCAAGTCCTAGATCGATATATAAAAACTGAAAACTCTTATACTTTTTTGAAAATAATGCTCTCTTTAATTATAAAAAATGATACATTCGGAACCCTTTAAGTTCCCTTAAACCCTTTTTCAAAATAACATTTTTAAACTTTTCTCTTAAACTAACTTTAGTTTTGAATGTGCACTAAGACAAGTGATTATGTTCTACAGGAACTTTCAAAGGTAAATGGAGCCTATAGGAGCTAATACAGAGAAGGGAAACGTGGGCACAACTTAAAGGACTACACGTCAGATGAAACAAAGAAAATAATTGGCCTAACGACCATTGGCATACTGCTGGCGCAGGGCGCCAGGCCCTGAACTTCAGTAGTCAGTCCTGGGTGCACTGGTGGCGCAGAGCGCCAGGCCTTAAACTACTGAAAGCCAGCCTTGGTGCCTTCTTGGCATGCTGCCCCAGCATCCCTGACAAACTCAAGTTAAATTAGGACCCCAAATTAGTTTAAAATTGGGAAATTGTTCCTAAACTCTACCTGTTTTTCAAACCTAAAATCAATAGATGAGAAACTTTCATACAATTCTCTTGGAAACATAACATTACTAAATCAATATGGTCCATGTGATACTAAGCATGACCAACATTATAAGATTCTAAAAAACAAAGGAAATCAAAACCTCAAATGTTAAAGAGCTGAATTCAATATCAAGAACAATGAATAGATCCTTTAGGTGTGACAATTTCTGACTGAATTGAGATGTAGGGCGTGAGGACGAACTAGTACAACACTATGAATAGCCTTATATACCTAGAAGAACGAATTTCTTGGCAGAATTGACGAAACTCGAAGAATGATTGAAACCCTAGATTTTCTTCTCTTGGAACCTTGCTCTAATGACCTGATGTGTTAATGAATGTAAAAGAACTAATTAACACTTTATAAGACCTTAATTAGTTAGGAAATTCGTTTAGGGTTTTTCTTGGAGGTAAAAAGACAAAAGCGACCATTTTTAATATTTTCCAGTCAACTAATTCGTCACTACACTGTATAAGGTTAATAAAATGGTCATAACTTTTTACTCTGAACTTGAATGAGGCAAACTCGGCGGTGTTGGAAAGAAGAGTCAAAGACCTTTAATTTGATATGTCTTGGGCCACCTAATTCATTATGTGCGGAGATATATGATCATTTGAAGTTGACCTATGTAGAATCTTATATCAAAACTAAATCAGTAAGGAACCTTTCATCTCAACGCTATGCTAGGGGATTCTAGGGACCTTAATTCATATACAAAATCATTCCCACATTAAAGAATTGAACAGTTAAGAATCACTCAGTACGACCTTACATGCAATTCAAGAATGATTTGGATCTTAACTTAGAAATTTTCGGGGTGTTACAGATACCCTCGATATGATTCAATTTTAAGATTGTGAGTTCGAATTATTAAGAAAAATATTAGAACTTCTAAGGAGAAATGGAAAAAATGGAGGAAAATTTAGATCGAGCCATGAAATATAAATTGTTATCATTCATCAAAATGAACCAGATGATCTTCAACAGAAACTGTAATGAAGAAAACGAGGAGACAATCTGAGAAATGGTAAACAAAAGAAAAGAAAAAGATTTTTTTCTTTTTGAAACGAATCGCGTCGGTTAATTTAATATTTAAACTAAATTAAATTAATTAAAATGTGAGCATCACGTGCGTCTTACGAGATGAAAAAATGCGTCGAAATGTTATATTTACAAGGGTATTTAATACTTTGTTGGGGCAATAAAACGCCGTAAAATTAGGGTGTCTTTTTGAAAATTCGGCACAACTTAAATCTTTCTCTCTTTTAAAAAAATATAAAAAACATAAGGGACCGTTTGGTCTTTTTCCCCCCTGATATCCAAAAGATTTTCCTCAAAATTGCAAGAGAAACACATAATATTGACTCCATGAATTTGAAGCCATTAGGCAGGCAGAAGAGGAGATAGGAAGGGACAGCAAAGAGCAGCCATGGCTTCTTGCTCCTCTTTGAACTTCACAGCTATCTCCTCAAACCCCCAAAAGCTTCCTTCTTCATCAATATCTTCTCCTATTGTTCAGCGGCCCTTCACTTCCCACTTGTCATTTTCTAAATCTTCTTCCCTTCATTCAGATCAAATCCCAATCAGAACTCATTGCGGGAAACTTCCCCAGCCAAATGGTGCCGGTTTTGTGGTATTTTCAACTTCAAATTCCAACCCCATTTGAATATTTGAACTAATTTTGAGGTTTGAGGCATGATTGATTATTTTTTTTGTGTGAATTTAGGTTCTTGGATGTGCTAGAAAGAAGGAACCTTTGAGGATAATGATATCTGGTGCTCCTGCTTCTGGGAAAGGAACACAATGCGAGCTCATTACCCAAAAGGTAGTGATTTTTTCTTTTCCCAATGAGTTGATCTAGGATTGTTAGTGTGCATTTAAATTTTTTTGAGATGAAGCTGACTAAAGGAATTATCTGAAGTTGAAATAAAACTTGCTGAAATTGAGATTGCTCTGGAATTATTCTAAAAGCTTTTTGGGGGGGAAAGAAATTAGTGCAGGTTGAAGATTTGTGAGTGGAAGTTAGAAAAACAAGATACAAGTTGAGACAACTTGAAATAATGTCTAAATTCTTTTTTTTGATAAAGGTAATGTTGTATTCATCAGCATTAAGGATATGCTGGAGACCTCCAAAAAATGGTTTCCACCAAGAGAAAAAAACAAAAAGGCTAATAGATTACAAAGTGCCTATAAAATCCAAAATTTGTGCAATATCTTCTATCCCTTCCTCTTTACACCAAAAATAAATTCTTTCCTAATACTTGTGAATTAAACTTCAACTTCCAAATAAAGGGAGGTCACTGCCCAAGATTGGAGGTCCTGTGACTGGGACCAGAACATGACAAACCTAGCGCTTGTAGAGCGAATACTTAACACTGTCAAATCTACTAACTGCAAACAAACATTGAAGATCCATGCCATCCCATATGCAAAATGGAACACTGTGCGTTTCCACTAACCATGCAACATATGTATAAAACGGAACAACACCAAAAATAAACCCCGAAAACATCGCATTGACAAAATAAGCCTCAATGAGAGGAATCGTTCAAATTTTATTCCATAAGTTTTAGATTTCTAACCAAAGGGATTCATGGAGGTCCTAAAGAGTGCATTGTAAAAAAATAGAAATGGAACATAGCCTGAGATGATTAAGGAAAGAAAATAACAAAAGAAGCGTCCACTGATCTAGTGGTGTTCAACTCATGGACTCTGGTGTGATGTTTGGACCTTTTGAAATTCAAGGTAAATGGAGTGAGTGTCAAAAATAGTGAGTCTCATAGACAGCCTCTAAAAGTTGGGACATGCCTTTTGTAAGAACATGCACTTGTATCAAATATTATAATTTAGGAAACTTAAACACCTTATACAATGTCCATTTTCTGGTCATAAACATGTAGAGATCATATGAAAACTTATTTAAAACATAACCTATGCTCGTAGACCTTCAGTATTGGCATACTTTGCTCACAAGAGCCTTAAAACATTGTAATCTTTACATTCTTTTCTAGGGAGGTTTTCTTCTAGAAACTGGAATTTAATCGTGTGAACATCACAACATCGGATCCAATACCCACTCGATTGGTTAGGGAAGGACATCCTAGCATTCTGCGGTACAGGAGGGACCATAGATGCTAGGAAACTTACCTATGCACCACAGAACTTCCGGGACGCACAATTAGCCGCCATTAATATGGTTTTGACTTATTATTTGCACTTGCATGTGTAATTCTGCAAATAGAATCTCCACCAATCTGGTTGGCTAAATGCATTGGGGGCGAGACAGATAATGCACATTAAAAAGAGAATACTTGTTGCCTGTGGCCTGGTATCCTTATTTTCAAACTAATGTTCTGTTTCTCTTTTATTCAATTGGTCAATGTATCTTTTCTGATGTTTGCAAATCCGAAAGCCAGATGAAGCTGAGTGCCTGCAACAAGTGTACAATTATCAATATCGAGCTGGTACAAAAGCATGAACCACCTGTTAATTTTTTTCACCAGCGTGATCATTTGCACGCATCATATTACTGGACAGCCATGTACTTGGACTTGACCAATCCTGCCTCAGCTATGCACTTAATTGCTTGCAGAAACTTCTTTTACTAGTGTCTTGCTCACAGTTTCTCCAGGAATTTTTGGAGTTCTTTAGATCTTTTAAACTACATAGGAACATGGAAATGGCTTAGATCCAGAGTAGGCTTAAAAAAATTCGTTGTCTGCCAAATACTATATTTTTGAAGGAGATTCTTGGTGTCATAAACTAATAGAACTTACCCTATGCTTATTCAGTTATCTTAAGAAGCTTTATCTATGCCTTAACCCTCAGGACTTTGGTCTAGTGGTAAGAGCATGGGGCATGATATGTGGATTAGGCGCACCGCACGACTTCAAATCCTGCCACAAACAAATGTTTGGCATTTAAGTAGAGAAGGGTAGAATGGCGGCCCATTATCCACTGATTTTCGAACTGTGTGCCAACAGACCCTCGAGGATTTCTTGGTTATAAAAAAAAAGGCATCTTTTTTTTTTTTGTTAAACAGTATATCTATTAGTAATACACAAAAGTGAGTACAAACTACAATGAGGACCAGGAGCGAATGTGGACTATCCACACCACTAAAACAAGGACATCAAAGACTAAGCCTATCCGGTTCAGCCTAAAAGGCTGGAGAGCACAACTCCAGTTTACAACTATCTACCAGAACTAGGAATGGTAAAAAACAGAATACATCAAAAAGTTTCACAATGAAACTAAGCCTATAGATGAGGAAAACAATTTAGATCATGTAGTGCTTGCTTCCACTTGACTAGCCGTTCACCTCTGATGTGGAGATGTAGCACAATTTCCCTGCAGATGTGATCAACATCATATCTAGAGCTTTGAAATCTTACTTTTTTCTTTTCTCTCCATAGAAAAGCAGTGGCCATGGCAAAAACACAGCTAGCAATAGCACCAATTCCTGATTTCCTCTTGGCTTGTTGGCATGCCATTGCACTTCAGCTCTTCAATCTCCAATGGCCCTGTTGTTTCCAATCCATTGTCTTGACTAATTTAGCTTTTGTGTGCTGGTTGCTGCTTTCATCAATTGGTATGCAATTGTACGGTGATGCCTTGCATTTGATTTTAGTTGCATCCTATACCCTCTGTGCTCCTCAGTACATAGTCATGTGTGAAGAGAAATTGTGTCAATCCACTTTTGGTCGTGTGTGCAGTATGGTTTGGTGCATATTGCTGCTGGAGATTTACTGAGGGCAGAAATTGCTGCAGGATCTGAAAATGGAAAGCAGGCAAAGGAATACATGGATAAAGGAAAACTGGTACCAAATGAAATTGTTGTGACGGTAGGTTTACTTTGTGCATTGCCTGCTTAAGTTAGTATGCTATATTGGTTGGAAACTGCAGTAGTTCACACTATCTTATTGATTGGTAATAAGTGGCTCCTTCTGGTGCAGATGGTTAAAGAGCGGTTAAATGGTCCAGATTCTTGCGAGAAGGGTTGGCTTTTAGATGGATACCCTCGGAGCTCTTCTCAAGCCATAGCACTCAAAGAATTTGGCTTCCAACCAGACCTCTTTATTCTTTTGGAAGTGAGGTTCTGCTGTTGCTATGTGCCTCATGTTCTTTCATTCTTACATAACTTAGAGAGATACTTTTACATATTTGAGATTTCTTCACCTTTCCTTTGTTTCTCTTGCAGTAGAATTTAACCCCAGTAAGTTTCACTATAAAATAACCTTCATTCTGTCACAAGTTTTATTGTGCATATAGGTACCTGAAGAGATTCTTGTTGAGAGAGTGGTTGGCCGTAGGCTAGATCCAATAACAGGGAAAATTTACCATTTGAAGTATTCTCCCCCAGAGACTGAAGAGATTGCTTCTAGGGTTACTCAGCGCTTTGATGACACAGAAGAAAAGGCATGTATAGTCCATGAATTAATCACCATTACCATTTTTAGTAACTTATCAAAAAAACATTACCATTCTTTGTTTATCTTTCCAAGTACTTATTTGCAGTAGGTTTGATGCGAAGCTTTTGATCAAATTCCTTAATGTGAACTCATCTGACTTTGAATTGACAGTTGCAGTTGCCTCCCTTTTATCTCATTAGTTTACCTTTTAAATTAAGTTATCCCCCTTTTCAGCTTCGTCTCTCTTCCTCACAACCCCGCACCCACCTCCCAACTCCCCCTCCTCCCTCTAAAAAAACAGTAAAAATAATTAGAAATCGAATAGGCAGTCTTTGAACCTGAAAATTTTGCTGCTGTTTCTACAATTTTTCTTTTAACTAAACCATTTTGTTATGTTCTCTTCTTATTCTAATTTCAGTTTATGTTCTTTAACGCCAAATATTTATATTATAATAAGCTTAGTTTGTCTCTAATCATTCTTATAATTAACTTTTCAGGTAAAATTGCGTTTGCAAACTCACCATCAAAATGTGGAAGCAGTTCTCTCAATGTATGAAGATATCACAGTCAAGGTAACTCCTTTTGCCACACTTCTTCTGGAAAAGTTGCTTCACCTTAAACTACAGAATGAAATTTCTGGATATGGAATACTGTTGAAATTTACATAGCTAATGAAAGCCACAGAAATTATTGCTTGATATTTTTTGAGGTATTATGGTTCTGTGTTACCTTACTCAAATAGAAATACGGTATCATGATCCATGAATAAAGTATGGATTCTCAATTATACATGTAAAATGTTTGCTCTAAGAAATGGTAAAAAGTAATCAATGTTGATTCAAGTATACCATAAATTTCGTCTAGCTGTCCTTTCTGGTCATTAATTAACTTTGGTTAGACAATAGAATCAAAACCTGCCATTTTCTATGACAAGTAATTGGTAATTAGGATTTAGGCACAGAAAATCATTAGCTTTTACCTAATATTGTTGTGATCATAATCTGCTGTCTTCTGCAATGGATTTTGCTCTGCTGTCTGTTTGATTGATAAATGAGAAGCTGTTTCAGTTTTTTTTTGATAAAACATTGTCTCGGCTGCATGATAGTGTTCTAACTACCACTTCCCTTGATTTATCCTAGATGCTCTTGTTTGTTGCTCTACTTTCTCAATGCAATTCTTATGTGTTTTAAGTGTTTCCTTGCTTATTGAAGAATCTATTCGAGTTTCTTATTACTCAATATGTAAAATCTGGATATAGCCTTGAATAATTCATTGACTGACATCTTGCAAGATCATAAGCCACTCCATGGAAAGAGTAGTTAGTTAACATGTCAACAATGTAACACTTTGAGTTTTTAGTTGTCCTAATTTCAAAGCTGCTAGTACATAATAAAGAAGAACTAAATGTATCTAGAGTTTATGGTCTTCAGTTCCACTCTAATTCCAGTAATGCACTTCTTTGCACATCATTGGTTAGGGAATGGAGTAGCACAATGCTCTATAACAAATATATTCACCCTGATTGGCATCATTACACTCAATAAAAGAACTAAGAGCAGCTAGAGCAATACCTTGCATGGTTTAACTTCAAACAGCCGAACCTCCCCCCACTTCTCCCCCACCAAAAAAAAAAGAAAGATGAATCTTGTTCCTCGAATAGCTTGTTCTAGGTACTTTGAATATGTTGGACGTAATTCCCTTAGGGCTTGGTTCAACAAAGAAAGTAGATAATATGTGATGTGGTAGAAACACAGCAAAAGTTTGAAATTTCCAAGGTGTGGAATGCCTGCGGTGCTAAGTTGGACTAGGCATAAGTCCAAATCCATTACTTTCACATTCTTCCTCACCTTGTGGCCTCGAAAATAAAAAAATAATAAGAGGAGGTCGACAGTGTACCCATAGATAGTAAATTCTTGAATCCTTCTCATATTGGATGAAACAAAGCTAATCTCTCTCGATTTATACCAAACAACTTGAATATACTTATAGGTAAGGGTAGAAGCAAATCAGTGAATAGTCCTTCCCGTTCACTCTTCTCTTTCCCATACTTGATCAAGACAAACTATAATTCCTCTATTACCAGATGCGCGCATGAATTCTCATCTCCTAACCTTAAAAGGCAATCTGCTTTCATTCTCTTCTGAGTTATTTCGACTTTTAGGTGAACGGAATTGGTTCCAAACAGGAGGTATTCGCTCAGATCGATGGTGCATTGACACAGCTTCTAGAACAAAAGCAAGAAAAGTTGGGAATAGTGGCAGCCTAAAGGAACACAAAATATATCCAAGGAGAAGAAAAGAGTCTAATCATAGGGATGCATTTTGAATTTATCATGAATGTCATTCTTTATTGTCATTTCTCTTAAATTAATAATTATTATGCTGAAATATTCATTCATATTCATGTATAGATGAGATGAGAATAAGTAAAAACAGAAGAAATTATTTCTCTAGTGGCAGCATCTCATGTTATTTTTATACTCCCTCCGTCCCATATTATATGTCACCTTTTCTATTTGTACTTGCATTAAGAAATAAGGTAATTTTACCCTTATGCCCTTATTTAATGTTTGCCTATGATAACTTTGTAATAAATGATGAAATGTTAGATTTCAAAAATATAAATGCATTTGGATGACTATTTAAATTTTAGAGTTTATTTTTGGAGCCAATTTTTTGAGCCAATTGATCCAAAAAAATTTAAAAATCAAGTTTTTTCCACCTCAAGTTTTCTATATATTTTGTGTAAAATGTTTTTTTATATTTTTATATATAAATTTTTAAAGCAAATATGACAACGTCACAAAATATTCAAATTCCATTATTTCAAATTGATCTAAATTTTCCTTTGAACTTTTTGAAATGTTATCTTCCTTGATAAAATTTGTTGAAGCTTCAACTTTCAAGATTATTTTTGAATTTTTTTTCATCTTTTATTTTTAATTTGTTTGTTGATATTTTTTTTCAAAATCAGATTTTTATAGAATAGGTAGTGAATAAAGAAAGTAGTTAATTGATGAATGAAGTACTCCAATCAAAAAACTAGAAGGACATTGAGTTTGTACATGTTGGCACAGAGTCCTATTTTCAAACGAATTATTGAGTTGAGATGATAATTTATTAGGAAAACTATATGAATCTGTGTATTAAAGATTGTGTCTTTTTTTTAAAAAAAACTTTTGGTTAAATAGTGCTTTCTTAAACATTACTTTTTGTCAATTTCTTGCATATGTGTTTGGTAGAAAGGAAAATGTTTTCTTCAAAAGCAAAGGGGTTTTTAACTTATTTTTTAGAATTTGGTAACAAAGCAAGAAAATATTATTCCAAAAGCATTTATATGTTATCTAACAAAATACTATAGAGGTGGAATAGGATGGCAGTGGGCGTTTAGAGATGGCGGGCGTTGGGGGGAATTGAGTGGGTGGGAGGAGACAATAAACTTGGAACTTCACTTGTGTAATTTTTTTTTTATTAATTTCATTAGGAAAGTCATTTTCCTCATTTTTAAGGAACTTGTGTTATTTTAGAAAAAATATTTGACCAACCAAGCACATCCACACGATTATTTTAGACTTATTTTTCCTCTATATTTTAGGCATATTATGTGGGGATAATTTCAAATATATACAATAAAGTAATTAGGTTACAACAAATATAGTCATGTTTTATTGCATAAAAAAATTGTTAAAAGTCATACAAGTATACACTGACTATATATACACTATAGCTTGTCAAAAGTCATAGATAATAAACACGGACTATACAATATAGTTTATCTATACATAGCTATACACTAACTATACATTATGATACACTCAAAAAGGTGAATATAGCTTAACTATACATGACATATACATTGACCTATTCAATCTTGATCAACTCAAAATCACATCTAAACAGTCCCAAAATTTTAGATACGAAATTCTCTCAATAATTTGACTCTTTTAATATATAATTCACTTGAAATAATTCACATTTACGGTATGTGGATTTTTTATTTTGAGAACAAGCATCAACAACAGCGGCAACGAAGAAGAGTCATCACGTAATATATTAATCCTTTTTTTTTAAGTGGGCTATTTTTTGTATTAAAAAATAGGGAAAATATACCCTAATGAATATTTTGTGTAATTCGCCCTATTATATGAATGCTTGAAGGGAGAAAATTAAAAAAAAAAATCAATTCCATTGTTTCTTAATAATAATAATAACAAGGGAGAAGTAACATCTTGGAGCTAGATGTTAGGTTTGAATCCTTGCTATAGTATGCACCAGTCTTTTGTTTGTGGGATGTAATAAGTTATTTGTGAATTAATAGAGATTTTTTTATTTTTTTTTTGTAAATGAGGATGCTTAGATGAATGTGTGGGTAGGGGTGGACATGATATATATATTATTGAAATAGTAACTAATGTGTAACCTAGTATTAGTATAAACTAAATGTTTAGAAGTTGAAGTTGTGACTTTTCTATTTTGATTGAAATGTATTTAAATGTAATTGATTACCAAAAGGAGTTGTTTGTAATTTCTTTTGGATATATATTTCTACATGTGTAATGTGTTAGTATGATACAACTCATTAATTAAAACCTTTTTTTGAATTGTTGAAGTCATAATGTTTTATTATACGAGTATATATTAATCGAAGTTGAACAAACTATGGTTACCGATTTATCATACCGCAAAATATCGAAACTGAACTTCAAAATGTCGAACCATGTCGAATTAAATTGGTACGGTAATGATATAATAGTTTTAAAAACCGAATACCAAAATTACGATAGCGAAGTTTCAGATACCGTATCATGTCATACCATATCCACCCCTATAGATGGGTATATTAGGAGAGATAAAATTAGGAACTAAGATATATGTGGCAAAATGGGAGTGGTCTCTATAGTAGATAGGATTCACAAAGATAGACTGAGATGATTTGAGAATGCGAAGAGGAGGAGCATATATGCACTAGTGAGGAGATGTGAGAGCTTGACGCTGATAGAAGAGGTAGAAGCAAATCGAGAAAGAATTGTGAAGAAATGATTAGACATGATATGACACGTTTTTAGTTTATAAGGACTTGACCCTAGTTAGAAGAGCATCAAGGTTAAGAATTAGAATAGATTGTTAGTAGGTAGTCAAACGACTTTAGTAGAGCTTGATTCTAGGCTGGAGCACCTATATGCTCTCTTACCAATATTATTATTATTATGCTAACATATTCTTATTTCTTTAATTTGATTACTATTGTTGTTATTTTACTTTGGTTATCTTTATTATTATTTTTAACAATACTTCTATATCTTCAATAATTTTATCAATGTTTACTTATTCTTGCATTTCTTTTCAAATCTGTTCCGAAAAATGATTTAATTTTCTTGAATTGAGGGACTATCGAAAATAACTCCTCTACTTCATGCGATAGAAATAAGATATGTATATATCCTTCTCATATCTTATCTGGATGTATTTTTGTTGTAGTCAACCTTGTACAAATATCATCATATCATATCATATATCATCATATCTATCTATATATAATAGGAGAGGTGAAAAGCGCCACGTGTCAGCACCACAAAAAACAGATTTTAAAAATAATTAAAATTAATTACATGTAATAGGATTTAATAATAAATTACTATTTTATTTTTAAAATAATTTTAAATTTTAAATATGTAACGTGTGTGTGTGATTCCCTTTTTTGTGGAAATTGTTTTTAACCATCTTTCCACAACCTCCTTATTTAATAATAATAATAATAATCTATCTATATACATAGGAGAGGGGAAAATGCCACATGTCAGCGCCACAATTAATCTCAAAATTTCAGTATTTAAAAAGTCAATTTAAAAAAGATAAATAAAAAATATGATTTTTTTAAAAAAAAACACATGTCAGCAATTACTAAAAAAACTGCATCTTTCTGTTCTTCAAAATTTGATTTTAAAATATTTTTACAATGTAATTTTGCAGTTAAAGCCAACGGTCAACACCCAAAATATTTTTAAATAAAATATTAAATTTATGAATTATTAAAATTAATTTAAAATCTGAAAATAAAATAAAAATTATTAACACTAAAAAGAAAAATGATTTTACAAAAAAAAAATACAATATAAAATAAAATAAAATCAAAAAGTTACGTAACTACATCTTAGGTATCCTTTTTTTTTACTTCATTTTTAAATTTTTTTGAAAATGATAGTTATCCAAATCAATATCCAAACGGATAAGTTTTTGAAATTTGAGTGATTAATTTTAAATTTAAATTTAAATTTTAAAAGATAAATAACTAATTTTATTCCTAGAAAATAGTTAACCGCATAACACACGTTTAAATAACAAAAATCATTCTTAACTGCACCATTTACATTTTCTCAAAAACTTACTCATTTCAGAATTCTTATTCTCTTATATTTATTCAACTACTTAAACATGGTAATGTTTTTTGCTATTCGTATTAGCTTTTATGATTAGTTCATGAGTATGAAGAGAAGATCATTTGATTTAGAAGAGTTCAAAAATAAATTCTGACAACATTGATATTTCTTTTAAGATAAGTTCATAGTTTTTCATATTAATGAAAAGGAGTATGTTTAATTTGGTTTAAGATAAGGAAGGAGTATGTGTTATACTATTAATCAATATGCTTATTTAAATATATACAATATGTATATTACATAGAAATATGACTTTGTTCTCTTATGAAAAAAATATTCATCCTATTTCAATTATGTGATGTTGTTTTATTATATTTAAGAAAAATGTGAATACTTTGTAATGTTTCAAAACTATTCTAAAAATAAATAAATTTTTAAATACAAGACCTATTTTTATGAAATTATATCAAAATATTTCTAACTACACATTACCGTTTCATGTTGGATTCCTAAAAACCTGAAACCATAAATCAATGTATGTTTAGGACTTCACTACTTTCTTTTTATTTTTGGAATTAATCAAACTTTTATATCAACTATTTAAACTAAAAATAAATTGATTATATTTATATAAAATTCTGCTTACAAACAATTGTTGAAAACTTTCAAAATAGAAAATAAGAAAAAAGAATTTACAAGAATCTGGAAAAATATGAAATCAGAATAACTGAAATTTATGCCATACTTTTCTACTTATAGTTATTTTTATTTGATACTTTTTTTTTCTTTTAAAAATTTCTAAAGGCTGAGTATTTTAATTTGTAAATTGAATCCAAAAACAAAATTTAACAAATTAAAATAAAACATTGCAAACTCAAAATTAACGTACGATACCACTAAAAATTAAATCACACTTTTTAAAACTCTATTTTATATCAAAATAGAAATTACTTTTTTATAACAATTGCAAGGTCAGTTTTATCTCCCAAAAGGGTTAAATTGATTATTTATAACAATTGGAAGTTTAAAATAAACGAAATTTTACTAGAAAAATTAATTGTATTGTATTAAAGGAAATTA